GGAGGACAGCAGAGGGGAGGATAGCAGAGGGGAGGACAGCAGAGAGGAGGACAGCAAAGAGGAGGACAATAGAGGGGAGGACAGCAAAGGGGAGGACAGCAGAGAGTAGGACAGCAGAGGGGAGGACAGCAGAGGGGGAGGACAGCAGAGGGGAGGACAGCAGAGGGGGAGGACAGCAGAGCAGAGGGGAGGACAGTAGATGGGGAGGACAGCAGAGCAGAGGGGGAGGATGACAGAAAGGGGGACAGTAGATGGGGAGGATAGCAGAGGGGAGGACTACAGAGAGGAGGACAGCAGGGGCGGACAGCAGAGGGGAGGACAGCAGAGCAGAGGGGGAGGAGACAGAAGGGGAGGACAGTAGATAGGGGAGGACAGCAGAGAGTAGGACTGCAGAAAGGAGGACAGCAGGGGGGAGGACAGCAGCAAGTTTTGGGGTGCTGAGCTCTCCATTTCCATAGGACTCCCCATATGGCCATACAGGATCCCTCACTCGTATTGGGCTCTAACCTCTCACCCATCAGAAGAGCCTGATTTCAGCCTGTATTTGTTGTCCACAGGCTGAGTCCCAGAAGGCTGAATCTCTTTTGGCAGAGTGGAAACGGGCAATGGCCTGGGTGTGATTCTACAGGGTGAATGAGTCTCAGTGGGATGTCACCCCAAGATAAGCCAGCAGTCCAGGAATCAGTCACCTATGGGGCCTCACCTGTGGACTCCCAGAGTTTCATTCCCACAGAGTCACACATACTTGGAAGAGTCACCCCTCCCAGACCTGGCTCTGCTCAGCAGCCTTTGCTGAAGTTAGTTCTTCCTGAACAGCCTCCTGGAAATGACCGTCCCAGCCCACGCTGGCAGGCAGCCTTTGAATTCATGGCTTGTCCAGTGAAGACTTTGTGGGATTGGTCAAGGCCCTGACAAGGCAGGGTGTTTTCTCCTGAAAACTCAGCATCCGACTACAAATGTATGGGGTTCAGGGACTGGGGGTCGATACTGTTCTAGGAATGGTGTCCTAGAACCTTGGGTTTTTACACTTAAACTTGCCCAGGGATGGGGCCGGGGTCTGGGTCCTCCCCTAGCCTGGATGCTGCCACAATTTCTCTTCCTCTGTAGTTTATGTCTCAAGAGGGGGAAAAAAGAACCTCTATTCAAATTCCAGACAGGCCTGTGAAGGGGGTCTGGACAGGTCCCTCAAGTCAGGCAACGGGAAGGGAGAGGTTCATTCCAATCATATGACGAAGGAAAATGAAGTGGGAGGCTCAGCCTTGGCCACAGACATGGGGGCCCACTCCCACCTCAGTCACAGACCAGGGAACCGTTCCTGTCTTAAACAGACATGGGGTGGGCATGCTGCTTGTGTCTCAGGTACAGATGTGAGGCTTGTTCTACCTCAGGCATAGACACAGAGCCCTGGTCCATCACAGATATAGATGTGAGGGGCCCTGTGGACACTTCAGTCACAGACATGGGGCCCACTTCTTATCTCAGGCACAGATACAGGGGCCCCATTCCCACTTCAGTCACAGAAACAGGGGCCAGTTCCCACCTCAGTCACAGATATGAGGCCCAGTTCCCACCTCAGTCACAGACACGGGGCCCTGGTCCCACCTCAGTCACAGATACAGGACCAGTTCCCACCTCAGTCATGGACATGGGCCCGTTCCATCTCAGATGCAGCCATAGGGACTCCGTTTTTGTCTCAAGCAAGTCCATCCAGTGTTAGCTCTCAGGCCAGGTTGGGTAGAAACTGGGAGACTCTCTTTCGTCTTTGCTGAAGAAGGTATTATTCCTTGGGCTCAGGCCCTAGGTGCAGTGACAGATGAGAGACCGAAGGCTAGAGTTTATTGTTGTTGAGTACCATCGAGTCAGAACCAAACCATAGCTGACCCTCCAGTGGGTTTTCAGAGGCACTTAATTGCATGGGAGGAGATTGCCCATCCCATCCTTCTCCTGTGGAACAGCTGGTGGATTCAAACCACATGCCTTTGGGATCACAGTGCAGTTTCTTACCACTAGGCCACCAGGGCTCCCTGTAGGTTGGGGTAGGATTAAAAAAATAATAAAAGGAAGCCTGAGGTACCTAAGCCTTTGAGGGCATTATCATTGTGGTGGTGCGGAGCTTGGGTCCTCAGATATTCAGAGCAGGAGGGTGGACAATACCCTCTAGTGAGCTCTACCCTCATGTCCTCAATTACAGTCTTGTCCACGTGTGGCCCTATCCACAATCAGCCCACTGCCAATACATGACCACAGAGCACCCAATCTGAGCACAGAGAAAACCAACAGAGCTCACGGTGCTGAACTGGTTCTGACCCACAGCGACCCTCCGTAGGGTTTGTGAGGTTGTAAATCTTAACTGAGCTGCTGGTGGGTTTAGACCACCGGGAGGAGGAGGCAGTCTTTGGGTAGTAGTTCAATTCGCTTCGGACTACACCACCAGAGCCCCCTCAAAGCACAGAGCACCCTAGATTTCAAAGGCCTCAATGTCAGTCAGAACGGTAATGTTTCAGATGTGGCGTGAAATAAACATATTAAAGTTCATTTCAGCTGCATCTTTTCACTTTTTCATTGTGATTGTCGAACATTTTGTTGTGGTTTGGGTGCAAGTTTACAAATGAGCTTTCCGTTCAACAGCATAGACACATGTTGGCTCCTGACACTAGTGCAATCTCGTCGATGTAATGGCACCCTTCCCGCTTCCTCTTGGTCTCCCCGTTTCCATTCTTCCTTTTTTCTTCCATTTGCACGTGAGAGCTCTAGTGGCCTAGTCTGCAGGGAGTTGCCTTGCTAAGCCAAAGGGCATGCCTCTCTGGCAATTCAAATCAGCCAGTTTCCCAGGGAGAATAGACCCGCAGTCTTCTCCTGTGTGATTTATAGTCTTGGAAGCTCACTGGAGGGTTAGCTCTGAGTTGACTCTGATTCAAGGACAGTGAGTTTGAGACTATTAATTTAAAAATTATGCCTGTGGGTTGTTCTCTATTTCTACCCGATGATGCCGTGCTAGTTGTGCTAGTATTGGGACTCATGCCATGGGCAGCCAGAGAGGGCCCGCTCACAGGACCTGAAGGGATTACAGCTCCCAAGTTAAAGACCATCCCCAAGAATAGAGAGAGACCTTGTCCCTGCCTGTGTTTGGGGCACAGAGATAGAAAGGAGGAGCCCTGGGAAGGCTGGGGAGGCCCCTACATAGAGGGGTGCTAAAGAGTCAGGGAAGGGGTATAGGCAAGCAGATGGCTGAGGGTTCCAGGAGGCTGAAAACAAGACAGTGGGAGCTCTGGTGGCCTAGTGGCAAAAAGTTACACTGCAATCCCGAAGGCAAGTGGTTCAAATCCATCAGATGTTCCACTGGAGAAAGAGGGGCAATCTCCTCCTGTGCCAGTTGGATCTGATTCAATGGTACACACGCAAAAAAATAACATGAACACAAGACAGTAAGGGCATAGCAGAGGAGGCCAGAGTGGGTGCAGTGAGAGGGAGACTGACCAGCAAACAGAAGGCAGTGGGGTCTAAGTAGATGCTGCAAAATCAGGCAACAGTGGTCAGTGAGAACAGCGCTGCTAAGAGCTGCCAAGGACCCCCAATCTCCACGGCATCATTGGTCAATTTCACACTGGTCTGGGCATTAGGGAAGGGCAATTGGGGGCTGAGTGGCCACCTGGATGGTCTTAGGGCTGAATCATCTCATGTCTAGTGTCTAGTGTCTCCCCCCCCCGCCCCAGGATGCCCTGTGGCCACACCCGCATCTGGATCACCTGCATCTCAACAACACTCTCCCACCGCCTCCCAGGCCCCTGTTCAGACACTGCTGACATGCAGAAACAGCACTGCTACTTGGGGGAACTGACCGTCCCAGGGCACATCCCAGCAGGGGACAGAGTCCTCAAAAGAGGCGGCCTAGAGTCAAGGGCAGCCTTTATCCCTGCAATTCCATTCACGGCGTGCCAGCCGCGGCGCTGCGCCAGGGCCAGCCACTGGTGGAGGATGCTGGCAGGACCTACGGCGCCAGGCACCCAGGCTGAGGGACGCTGGCTTCTACGTCAACTATAAAGTTGGTGGGTAGGTCCACAGGATACACCCTTGATCATGGGCAGCTGGTTCTCTGGGGTCAGCCCTGGGAGACTATCTACAGGAAATGAGGAGGGGGCACTGGGCATGGGTCACAGGCTACTGGGATAGCCCTTGCTTCAGGGCCCCTTCCACTTGCTGACCAGCCTCACCTCAGTTTCTCAGGTGTGCAGAGCTGCTGCTGCTACTTAAGCCTCTCAATCAGCAAGGCCTCCACTGACTCAGGGACCAGTAGGCCTGTTCCACTCCTGTCTGGCTACTCACCTGTATGGAGTCCAGGCAAGGCCTCAGTCAACTTATCTGTAAATGGGCCCAACAACTCGTGTCACAGGGTTGCATAATCAGGTGTGTGCCAGCAACCACGGCTATGGGACCCCACAAGCTTGAGGCTCGAGTGCCACATTGTAGGGAGGACATATTCACACCAGGCCCAGTCAGCTTCTCCTACTGCTCAGATCTGGCTCAACCCCACCCCAGAGCAGCTCTGAGAGAATCAGAGCCTCCACCTCCACCCTAGGTGGGCCCGGGGACAGTGGACAGACAGCAGGACCACCAAGAACAACCACCATGCATGTGCACCAGGTGGGGCAGGCTGCAGCAGCAGGGGGGCTGACTAGGGAGGTGCATGGTGATGTCACTTCCCACTTCAAGCCCTTCTCAGAAAATGCACAGACAGGCCCACCAGTCCTCCTCCTCAGGGCCATTCTAGTCTTAGAGGCTGCTGCCGCCCTGACAGGGCCACAATTTACTGGCTTGGGGGGTGGCTGACAGGACAGGATGTAGGGCACAGATGTGGGGGGGATACCCTACTCCCCCTCCACATTGCACTCAGCCTTTCTGGGGGGAGCATCAGTGTGAGCTGGCTGTGGAAAGCCTGATGGACAGAGACAGGTTTCTTCTTGGTCCCAGAGGACACATGCCTGAGATGGAGGAGGCACCCCTCAAGGCCCCCAAGACCATCGAGCACGCTGCAGTAGGCAGTCCAGCTTCAGACCATGTGGTCGCCAGAAGAGTCTAGGGTGCAGAGAGATTCTAGGGGTGTCAGGGGGGTTGGGAAGAGCCTGGGGTCAGGAGGAGCCACTGTGGAGAGCTCTGCTAGGCAGAGGGGCTTTGAGGACTGAGCCCTGGGGGAGGCCAGGACAGCAAAGGCCACTATTGCTGGCAGAGACGTTGGAGTCCAAAGGGCATGGCAGGAAGTGGGGTGATAGGCAAGGCTGCGGGGTGACATTGTTCAGAGGATGTTAGAAAGATGGCTGTGACTGTGGGGAGGGGATGGCACGTGAGAGACCTGCCCACTGGCCAGGAGAGGTGAGCCAGCCACACAGTTCATAAATGGGGCCCTGTCCCTTTCTCTCCCACTCTGGACCCCTCAGCTACTCCTTGCTGTGGCCTGCTGACTGCCTAGGTACCACCAGCAATGGATGACCCTCTGTGGCAGAGGAGCCCCTCCGGAAGCACATGACATGAGGTGTGTGGGCCTTGCATGCCAGCTCAGCCACCGAGAGGCCCTGCAATGTTGCCGGGGCAACTGTTCCCTCCAGCCTGTCTCCTGGCACTCCACACACCCACAAATGCCACCGCGAGGCGCCAGGCAGGTCCGCCCGCGAGGCCCAGGCAGACCAGCAGGTGTGGCTGCATCTGAGGGGGCAGCTCTGTCCCCCAGCTCTGGCGGTATCCTCTGTGTGGGGGTAGTGAGTGTGCCCCACGGTTGGGGGTTCAGCGCAGCTTGCCTGCCTGTGTGACACAGGTTTTACTGGGAACTGGAGGTCTTCATTACCTCCTGGGGGTGCTGTGCACTCATCAGCACCCCAGTTTTCAGGTGACCCCAGGACAGGACTAGTCCTGGAGGAGTCAGTGCAGCAGTTCCTGCATGATGTTAGGGGGGTTTGGATACCACCATTGTCTTGTTGGTGTTGTTATGTGCCATTGAGTCACTTGTGACTTGGCTCAAAATGTTGCTGTCAAGCTGGTTCTGACTCCTAACCACCCTCCATCAGGATTCCGAGGCTGGAAATCTTTCCAGGAGGAGACTGCTCATCTTTCTCCCAAGGTAGATTCGAACTGCTGACTTTTTAGTTGGCAGAACAATTTGTTACACACTATGCCACCAGCATTCCTTACTGGCTTAATAGGCATCGCAGGCCGGGTTGTTTCTTGGCCCCATCCTGCAGGAGAAGCTGGACTTGAGCTCAAATGGGGTCCTGAGTGTGTGTGGGGTGTCAGCACCAGTCAGAGGAAAGCACTTACCCCCAGCAGAGAGCAAGGGGACCACTCACACCCATTCCTTGGAGCTGAAGGGTGTTGCAGGGAGGAGCCCTGACTCACTTTCCAGAAGTCACTTCATTTCTGGATTTCAGGAGGGAGCTCTGGTTTTTCATTCACACACACATCGTGTTACGATGAAGGAATTTGAGAAGAGAGGAGGCCTCACCCACTGTGGTGAGGATCTTATGGGGCCTCAACTATCCTTTCACCTGACTGTATGTGAGCTCAACTCATGCCCACTGGAATAAGGACCCAGGATACCTCATCTAAATGCTGGAATATTCTCTACTAGATAGGAATTCTGGCTCATATTGAAAAAAAAAACCACAACAAAAATAAAAAAAGTTTCTGTGTAGTCCAAGTCAAGTCCCAATCAGAAATTATTTCCTAATAAAGCTAAACCCCCATCACCGCAACAGCTGGCTTGGGGGGGGGGAAAAAGAGGACTTTTAGTCAAGTTCAAACTTTCAAAACTCACTCCAGCTCCACCCCTAGCTGTGCCGTTGGAATGACGAGGGGACAGCTGCTGCAAGGTGGGCTGGGGTGCTGGACGCTCAGGGCTGGAGCCGGGCGCGGGAGGCAGCTGTCGGGGAATCGGTGGTGCGGAAGGGGATGGGGGGGGCTGTGCAGGGCTTCCTGACAAATGCTGGCACCTGCTCAATGCTGGGGCAGGGGTCATCCAGCTCCATTCTCTGTGGGGCCTCGAAGGCTCTTGGTTTGTCACGGTCACGAGGCCATATTGCTTTTCTGGCATGTGGGCCCCTTGCCCTGGGTTGTGGAGGGGGGGGTGGATAGAGAAATAAAGCCCATTAGGGTGGGAACTAAAAAAAAGGGGGGACAAGGGCTCCCACCCACCAAGACTAAGATGAAGACCACAGGAGGGCAGCCCCTAAGGAACCCAGTGGTCATGAAGTGGGCTGAGTGTGCAGGGCTGGGCCATTCAAGAGACCTCCAGGCTGTGTGACCAATGGGCTCAAGACCCCAGAGGAACTGTCCATGTCAGGCTCCTGGGGGTGACTTGGGGCCTCTGACCCTGAAAGATGTCCACTCAGGATGTCACACACACGTGGCTAGTACCTCGAGCCTTTTCCTCCTCCATCGCTGGGGAACCTGGACACTTGAGTTCTGCTCAGGGGACCCAAACAGGGCATGGGGAAGAAGGGTTCAGGGCTTGGAGGTGATCTGAGGCTGTCCACCTCATGATCCAGTGAAGTTGTAGGCATATGTGGCTACCTGGGGGGAATTCAGAGGAGAGTGAGAGACAGAGAACCTTTAAAGTGGGGAGAGCCACAGGGAGGAAGGGAGGGAGTGAAAACACTGTTCTAGAGTTAAGTATGCTCTCTCCCTTGATTCCAGGTTAGGAGGTCTGGCATTGCCCTTCTGGAAGTTTCTAAGGTTCATTCCTTACCAGCCTAGCCCACTGGGACGGTCTTCATGTCTAGGAATCCCAGATACAGGCTGGCTGGGAATGTCTGGTCCCTTGGCACCTGTGATGTGCTAAGCATTTACTGGGCCCACAGGGATTAGGAGCCCTGGGAACTGGGCTTCCATCCACAGGAATGGTTTTCCCCTGTGTCCAAAGGTCCAGAATCAGGCCACCTTCAGAAGTCATGAGACCACCCTGCTAAATGTAGCTCCTCTGTGACTCCTTCATAGCCCACAAAGCTGGAACTAGAGATGTGCACCGGGTGGTGAGAGGAAGACTGAACACATGTAGAGGCTGGAAGGGTGGGGTCTGCCTAGAGGAGGCTGAATATAAGTTGCGGGTTGCAGAAAGGTAGTGGTCCGCTGGAAAGGGGCTTTTAGGGCTGGAGAAACCTGTGAGCGGAGGTGGTGGCCAAGCAGAGCCTCAGAGTTGCTGGGGCAAGGGAGCAGAAATGTCCAATGGCCTCACACGTGGCCCAAGGAGAAAAGCCTGCTACTGCCCACCCCCCAGAATGGGATCTGTTAGTTCAAGAAGTATGGGGAGACCCCAGCCCTCTTCTCTCCTGCAGGGGCCACCAGGGAGGCAGGCAGGGTTGGGGTGGGGGTGGAGCAAGGGCAGTGGCCAGCTGGAGTGGCCCAGGATTTAAGCATCTGCTGCCATCAAGTGGTAGAATCTGGTGCGCCGCGGACCCATGGCGGGAAGGGGTCTGCCAGGTGCCCACTCCCTTCGTGCCCCTAACACATTTGTCCACACCCGTCCAGCGCTTGTCCGGGACTCTTGTTGGCCTGTGCGCTTTGTGGCCTCACTTCTTTCTTGGCTCAGGATCCCCACTTCCCTATCGCTGGACAGAAAAGTTCTTCTGGAGCCCGCTCCGAGTCCTGTTACTCAGAGAGACTCCTTCTACCAATAGTCCCGCCTACAGAAGTGTAAACTGAGGCACAGAGAACGAGAAGTTGGGAGGCGGCGAGAGGCAGAGCGGGGTCGGGGCCTGCTTTCCCGCCCCGCCTCCACCCCGGGCTGGTCTAGGCGGCCGCGGGTGGGGGTTCCCACCATGTGATTTCCTGCCCATTGTCCTTGCCTGTCGCTGGCGGCGGAGGGTTGCAAGGCTGCGGGGGAAGCCCTTGTAATACACTGTAAAAGCTGGTTTTAGGGAGCGAGGGTAGGAATTGGGGGACGCGTGTGCCTCCATCTACCTTAGTCCCTCCCTTCCTTGCGATGGAGGAGGAAATAACCCTAGACTCAGTTTCCCATGCAGTCTGACAGTGTCACCAAGCTGCGGCCGATACTGTTTTAAACTCTGGGCAGCAGGGTCTCCGGCTCGGGCGCGGGTCAGGGCGCCTGTCTCACTTCCGCCGGACGTCGGGAGGGAAGGCGCGCGGGACGCGGCTCGGCGCTGGTCGGATGGCGGCGGACGCGGGCGGCGGGCACAGGCTGAGGCTGCGGCGCCGGAGGCCGCCCCCGGTGGCCGGGTGAGGCCCGTGGGCCCCGTGGCCGGGTGACAGGGGGCTGAGTTCCTTGAAGTCTCCCCGACCCAGGGCGAGCTTCTCCCCCAGCGCCCCTCCCCCAGGCACAGCTCCTTCCCCCTCGGGCCCTCCCAGGCGCAGGCCCCGCCCCTCGGTCCGCTCGTGCGCCTCTCTCCAGTACCCTCCCTCCGGCCGAGTGTCCCCCACCGCGCGCTGAGCCTCCTCCGCGGCGCCCACCGGTGCTGACCACCTCGCTCTGGTCCCCAGGCCCCCCAGCGCCCGCCCCTGGTTCCTGCAGGAGGCCGACGGCGGGAACGCGGAGCCCTGGGCCGCGCTGCTGCGCGCCCTGCGCCCCGACAAGGACCTGGCCTCGCCGCCCGCCTTCCCGCGCCAGGTGTGTGCGCAGGCCCCGGGCGGCTGGGGGACCTCGACCTGCGTGCTCCCCGTGGCGTCCTGGTGGCGTATAGGAACGCTGGCCTAGGGCGGGCTGGGAACTCACTTCGGGGTCGCACGCAGCGATGGGCACGCAATGCTCGTGGGGCGTGTCCAGCCCCGCTCAGCCCTATCAACCCTTTATTACAGGAGCCCAAGCGCAGCCCCGAAAAAGCGCCCCCCTCCGAGGTTTTCACTGTTGGAGGCAAGGCCTTTACCTGGACTCCCTTTCCACAGCCCCCGCCAAGGCGCAGTGCCCTCGTCTACTGCCCGCCCCAGGAGGCTGTGCAGCGCCCGGGGTCCCACGCCAGGTCTCCATCCCAGTGTCACCAATCTGAGATAGAGCCCCTTCGGACCCTCAGCACCGAGAAGCTGCTGCCGTCGGCAGTGCAGACTGGGCTGCCATCTGTAGAGGAGAAGCCACCACCATCGGTGGCAGAGGAGAAACCACCACCATCGGTGGCAGAGGAGAAACCACCATCGGTGGCAGAGAATCCACTGACTCTCACTAGCTGCCCCATGTGCTTGACAGAGTTCGGCACCACGTAAGTGACCCACCCTTCCACCTCCTTCCATGGCCCCAGGGAATCCCAGCCCCATTCTGAAATCACCATTTCCAAAAGGCCAAGATTGGCCAGTAGCTCAGCGTAGCCCTCCTACTTCTCTTGCACAAAAAGTGGAGTATGCGGTGTTCCAGGCCTTTCCCAGGTTCCTGAGTGGGGATCCACTTGCTTGTCTACTTTATGGGGTGCTGCAGGGGCAGGGTAGGTCTTAGTCCACACAGACTCCACATAGGAGGCTGGGTGCCTCATAGCCACTTGGGCGCACATAAGACACCTCCAGAACCACAAGTCTGGTCCCTGGGGGCAGAACCCAGTGCTGGGTCTGCAGGGGTGGGTCATAAACTTCAAAAGTGAAGAAGACCAGCTTGTGGTGACTGGAGTAGATTTTTCTTAAAACTTCAAGATATCTTTATGTTTCTAAGTTTGAAACCCAGTTAAGACATTAAACCCAGAGTCCATTCTGGGGGGGTGGTGGCACATGTCTTGCCGGGGTATGCTAGTTCCTGGTGCAGGACTCTTTAACTGGCTGCTTAGGGCTTTTTTGCTGGGATTTCATGTACATCATGAGTGTTTTAGTAGTAACCAAATGAAGACAGGCTCTAGGAACCAACTGCTCCAGGTGTAACAGGCTGGGAGCATGTGTGCTGCAGTGACCTGCTCTGTCTCTCGACTTGTTTTTGTTATATGTTGTTGCATCAGAACCAACTCTTAGCTGACCCTCTAGGGGGTTTGCAGAGGTTGTAAATATCATGGGAGGAGCAACTGGTGGATTGATTTTTCTCCAAAGGATGAGCCCGTCCAAAGCACTTCTAGAAACTTCCAGAGCCAGGAACAGAACCAAAACTTGACGTAGAGGTGACTTGGACTCCTGTTTGTGTATCAGAACTGAACTGGGCTCTGTGGTTTTCACTGGCAGAATTTTTCAGCAGTAGATACCCGGATCTTTCTTCCAAGGCACCTCTTAGTGGATTTAAAGCCTTACAGCAGTTGGGTTGCTTAACCATTTAAGAGCTCAAGAATTCTTGAGCCTGGAGACTTTGCAGAATGCTTTCAAAGCCACCATGTTCTTGTCTCATTTCCGTTTTACAGTGATATTTTGAGATTGTTAGAAGCTGAAAGTACTAACATGTTTACCAATTCTGGCCAAGTAGTGAAGGTCCTTTTGAAATGGTGAGATCTCAATTCACACCCATCAGACAAAAGCTAGACACAGAAGACTCAGGAGGTTGATTTTTGAGGCAGAAGCTCCCAGCATTTGTGATCCTGGCAGGGCTGAGTCAGCCCCTCTTCCTCTTTTGGGGGCTCCTCTTGGTCCTTGAATCCCTTGTATTTCTAGATTGTAAAAAGAGAACAAAAACTCTCCCAAACTGGGATGTTGGTGAAAAACACTCCTGTTTTGAGCTTTTAAAACAGTTGTTCAGATGGCTTTGGCAGAATGCCCTGTGTTTTCTAAAGTGAGTGTTGGTGACGTTAGGGCCAAGTTTCAGGGTGTCTGGAATGGTTCTAGCATGTTCTTTTGTAGCTGAGAGTGTACTTCAGCCAGAAGGCAGACACCTGAGGTTGCAGAAGTGACAGAGTCTCACATTACTGGAGCAACTACAGGTGCCCTGGGACTCTTGGTGGTTAACCAGAGGCAGAGGCAGGGTCTGTGGGCCTCAAGGCTGCGAGAGGATCCAGTTTAAATGCTGATAGAACAATCATTGAATTATTGGAGTTGGCTCAGAAGCAACTCAAAGTGGTGGTTTCATAACTGAGTTTTGAACAACGTTTCCTTTGATGAGGCGGTGATGCTGGTTCACATCCGAATAGAAAGGAAAAGGCTGGTCCATTCGGATAGCTGACTTTATTGGTCAACCAGAGAAGTCAGCAGGCGTAGGTGAAGGCTTGGTGGGAGGGCACCTGCGGTGGAGAGTGGGACAGAATACAGGCTGTGGCCTCAAAGTGGTCTCTAGACTTCAGGCCTGGCAGCATTTTTATCAAACATCTTAATGGCTAGATGCTCCTATAGGTGAGGGGTGAATGGCTGGGGGATTGTGGGGGCTGGGAACAGTGTTTGAGACCTGCTATTAAGGCGTGTTAGGGCCCCATGATCTTTGGGAGAGGTTGCACATACCCAGGACCTGGGATAGTGTGGTTAGGGTTAGGCTGACTGGGTGAGAGGCAGAACCGATCCAGGGAGCAGTGCCCTGAACTCAGGCCTGAGGCTGTGAATTGCAGTACAGAGGGTGTGGGGTGCTTCTGGGGGAGATAGGGAGGGAGGGGAGGCATGGGTCTTGCCTACGGCCACATGGTTTTCAAGTGGAGGCTTTGTACAGACCTGGGATGATGCCAATGGTGCCTGTTCCCCCCCACTTCTGGGAAGGTGGGGTTCGGGTGGGAGGGACTGAGGATGCCTCACAACCCCACAGTGTGTGTCCATGGCCTCTTTGTGAAGATGTCAGACTCGGTGGTCTCCATAGCTTGGGAAAGCCATCCACGTTGTGGGCTCATGAGTGCCCACACTGTGCCTTGTAGCTGTAACAGTGGTCATAGGTGCCACCTCTGTCCCCATATCCTGTTCCCAATCCTGCCAAGTTATGTCTCCGGCAGGCTATTGGTGTTGTTGCCACCTTACATCAGCACAAAGGTGTGAAGGTGGGGTACTTTGTGACCATGATCATCAGAAAGCATGTTCCTGGGGGGTGGAAGTACACCCCACTTGCCGACTCCTGCTTGCAGACTCCTGCATGATTTCTGATACCAGGTCCCCACCCCTTCCCTGTGGGGTCCAGTACTTAAACCGTAATAGCTCAGAGGTCCCGGATTGTACCTACAGTCTTAAGGTAAAAAGAATGTGCCAAATTAGAAGACTACACTTGGGAGTGTGTTAATGTACCAGGATACAACCTCTAGGCTCCTGGGCAGGGTCTAGAAGGCCTTTCAGGTGCACCTCCCAGCTGTCCTCCGCCAGGATGGCTCTCAGAGCAGGGACTCCCTGCTCTCGGACTGTTTCCATCACTGCTGTTCACCTGGGCTTTGGTGCCCACTCAGTGTCCTGACACCCTCATTAAAGCAGATCCTCAGCTAGTTCTATTGGCCTGTCAGTGACCCCCACATTCAGCCGCCTGCCCCAGCCGTCAGTCAGGGCAGGGGGTGCTCTCCTTCCTGTCCTAGGGGCTGTGCTGTCCCTCCTGGTCAACCAGAGGCCCTGAACCTCCATGTACCAAGACTTTCATAAACTGGTGTTCATGCCTTTGTCAGTCCCAGACAGGCTCCCATGCCAGACCAGCACCTAATAAATCTTAGGAGAGCCCCTGAAAATCCAAGAACAAAGGTGATTTCACACCTAGTGTCTAAGAGGATCCTGGCCAGAGAGGTGCCCACTGCATCAGCTGGGAACGGGCAGCAGTTCTGCCATCAGCCTCACAGACCGAGGGCTCGGCCGAGGTTAGTGACCTGTGTCCCCTTCCTTTGCAGGCTATCCCAGCTGGACGTCGATGGCCACCTGGCTCAGTGCTTGGCAGATAGCACCGACGATGTGATGTGGTGAAGTGGAGACAGGCACCTTGGGGCCTCGGCCACTCCCCCACCCTAGCTGTGTCATCCCTACACCTGAGTTGACATTAAAAATGTCGCATCAGAAGCTTGTCTGCAGTGGTTGCCTTTAAGACAGAAACGCTTGAGTCTTTTTTTATCTCTGACATGTGTCCAAGAGTCTGAACCTGGTTTGCCAGTCAGAAAAGGAGAGCTGCCCTGCCCAGGTCGTCGCTCCAGGTGGCTGCAGCACTAAAGGGGCGTCTGTCGACGGTTTTCCTCCAAGTGCTGCTCAGCTGGACCCTGGTGCCCAGCCTCATGCCCTCGATTCTCCTACAATGGTCAGGGCAGGAGGCCGAGGTGGGAGAGCCATGAGCACAGGCTGAATTAAAGTGGGGAAACCTGTGTTTTCTTTACAAAAAGCTTTGCTTTCAGGAAACACTGTTAGAAATTGAATCGTGCCTCCTTCCCCTCCCCCCAGTTGATGTTTAAATCCTAGTTCCTGGTACCAGTGACCGTGAAATAGGGTTTCTGAGGAGACCATCAATTAACGTGAAGTCTTACTGGAGTAGAGTGCATCCTAATCCCACCTGGTGAAAAATAGTCGAGATGCAGAAGGAAGGGGACCCCCAGCAGAAGCTGGAGGAGAGAAGGGCACCTCCCTGGAGCCTGAAGGGATGCAGTCCCACCTCCACCCTGATTTTGGACTCACCGAGACCATGTTCGGTCAGCAGTCCCGAGACGACCACGTTCCTTTAATGAAAATACTAACACCGTCAGTGTTTTCATGGAAGTCTTTAATGGATGTAAGGAACATGAACGGCCTTGGCCGTGGAGGGTGAGCGTATCGTCCACAGGAGGAAGCCGGCCCACTACAGGCCCCGCCCAGCCAGCGTACAAACCACACGGACGCATCTACAGCTTGCCCGTCACCGTCACCAGAGTCCTCGGGAACGATTTCAAAGGACCCGCACCGCAGCGTGACGTTTCTTTCCCAAACCACCCCTGCTGTTACATCCTTTTTGTCTCTGATTTATAAAACAATTTGTATATATAAAAATTTACGCTTTGTCATGAACAGAACATATCCAGACATTTTGTACACGAGCAACCACGCAGGTAACCAGTGAGCTGTTTGGCAATGTGGGTAATGCCATCTATGTTAAGCCAAGGGCCCCACAGAATTACATAAAGAGGTGTCACTGTACCCAGCATGGCAGAACCCCAGGGCTCGAGGGAGGCAGTCTTTCCCCTCTGTTCTGCTTGGAGTTACACGTGACAGAGCTAGTTCACACAGCCATCTAGTCGGGCGACTCAGTCCACTGAACACCACCCAGCTGGTGACCTTGGAGACCCCTCTCCAACATGGAGGCCCGCTCTGCAGCTGGAGCCCAGCCTCCTACAGTGTCTTCTGGGCTCTGAGGGGGCTGTTGGCTGCATCGCACACCCTCGTGTTGGCTAGAAACCGCCCCAGCTTGTGTACCTGGGGTGGCTTGGGGACAGGGGCCACTGGCATATCAGTGCTTTGGCACTCCTGTCCTAGCACCGCGGGGTCTGGTGGATCCGAGGTGCCTTGTTCTGCATGGGACATAGCACCGTGCCCTGAGAAGCCTGTGTGTGTGTGTCTGCTCTCACCACTCTGTCCTGTACCCATAGTTGGGTGGAGAGTGGCCCACCTCACACCCCGCAGGCCTTGGGGGAGTGTGGCCCAGCTCACACCCGCCGGCACGGGGGAGCGTGGCCCAGCTCACACCCGCAGGCCTTGGGGAAGCGTAGCCCAGCTCACAGACACAGGAGCATGGCCCAGCTCACACCCACAGACACGGGAGCATGGCCCAGCTCACACCCGCAGACACGGGGGAGCGTGGCCCAGCTCACACCCGCAGACACGGGGGAGCGTGGCCCAGCTCACACCTGCAGACACGGGGGAGCGTGGCCCAGCTCACACCTGCAGGCCTCGGGAGAGCGTGGCCCAGTTCACACCCACAGACACGGGGGGAACGTGGCCCAGCTCACACCTGCAGACATGGGGGAGGAGCGTGGCCCAGCTCACACCTGCAGGCCTCGGGGGAGCGTGGCTCTTGGTTGGATGGGGTCTTGGTCCCCATTCTTGGTGGCACCCTCCTGCACTTCTGGAACCACTGACCCAATTCTGCCATTGAGTTGACTCATGGCAACCCTCCACAGGGTTTCTGAGGCTATAAATCTAAACAGGGAGATTGTCTCATCTTTCTCCCAAGGAGTAGCTGGTGGATTCAAACTGCTGACCTTTAGGCTGGTCCGTTACACCACCAGGACTCCTTCATTTGGATAGTGAGGGGTTTGAAAGGCCACTTCTTGCCCCTACATTTTGTCTTTTAAGAGAACATGGCAGTTGAGTTCTACTCGCCTCCGTTCCTGGAGGAGGAAGGCTGAGCATGTGACCTGCAGCCTCCACAGGTCACAGAAGCAGGTGCTGACCCCTGCCAGTAAAACGGGGTGTCTCTGGCATCTGACCTTCAGCTGGGGCCCACATAATCAAATGCTGTAAGTCAAGTGTGACTCACAGAGACCTCATGTGTCAAGAGTAAAATTTCACTCTGTGGGGCTTTCAATGGCTGATTTATTTTCTTTTTAAAGTAGATCATCAGGCCTTTCAGAGGTGCCTGTGGGTGGACTGAACCTCAACCTCAGCAGCCAAGGGTGTTCGCCATTTGTGCCACCTGGGGAGTCCTAGGGCCCATTATCTACTCATCCTCTTAAATCTCTTGAATGCTGGCTCACCCCATAAAAGCACCCCTCACAAGTCCCCACGCAACACAACACATCAGGTAGGCACTACTCCAGGTTTTCAGAAATGTATATTGTGCAGCTTCCCTTTCCGCCTTTCTGCTCTACAGGTGCTTTGGTAAGCCACATGTTTAACATCTCCAGGATCCGACTTTACCATCACAGTCTAGCGTGCCAGCCGAGGCCTGCCATGCCCATCTGGTGAAGGGTGACTTCCGGGTGAGAGACAGGCGCCGTACGAAAATACTCATTATATATTAACTTCAGGAACTTACCAGGACTTAGAAAATGTTCCGAGTTTGTACAAATTCTCCATTGCGGGGTGTCCCTTTAGGCACTTAAGACTCCTGCCCCCCCACCTCTGGGCTGCCACACCCAGCACAGCTCCTCTGTGTGTAGGTGGTGTGGGGGCGCTGGGCATGTGCCACTGGGGAAAAAAGGCATCGGGAGGACGCTTGCACATCATAGGTACACTTTATTCCCCGGGACATTACACGCTTGCCCTCCTGGGAGAGCCGGAGGCGCATTGAGTCAGTTTCTAGGAAGTGTGCACCCTTTGGAATCGCGTGGTGGCCTCTCCCCAGCGCCACCGCGCCACACAGGCACAAGAAGCAGATGCGTCCACGCGGAGCCGGCCCCGTCGGGCCCCATGCCAAGACTGTGCTCTCCGAGGAAGGCGCCCGCAGACGCCTCTCTCCGCGGCCCCGGCAGTGTGAGTCCCTCCCTGGCCGCACTCCAAGCCTCGCGCCCAGCCTGGCATGCATATGCTGTGGTTAAGGATAAAGTTAAAGGGTCATTCACATGGGATGTCCCCAGCGGGGTCGTCGCCCCCTCACACGGACTCCTCGGTGGACAGCAGTAAGGGGTTGATGTACTCAAAGCCTTCAAACTCGGACTGGTCGATCCTCTTGATGATGTCCCTTGGGGCATAGGAGAGAGAAAGCAAGAACATCGCCCTGAGTTTCCACCTCTCATGGAAGAGTCCTCATGCCAAACCCACCGTTTTGGGTGCTGTTTCGTCTGTTTTGAGTGACTGTATGAGAGAGTGGGAGTCCTGATGACATATGGTTAAAGCACTCGGATGCAAACGAAAGGTCAGTGGTTCAAGCCTAGTAACAGCCCCAGGAGTCAGACATGACAGTATGGTTCCAGAAAGATTTACAGCCTTGGGGTGGAACTAAGGGCAGTTCTGTTCTGTCATGTGGGGTAACTATGAGTCAGAAGAGAGATGGTGACAATGGGCTTGATAGTTTTCATGTGACAGAGAAGCAACGCCCCATAGCATTTTCTTGGCTGTAATCTTATTTAAGAGTGAAGATGGCCAGATCTTTATTCCTGTGGAGCTGTACTGGGTTCAAACTGCTGACCTTTTAGTTAATCAGTTGTGTCATTTACAGCAGCAAATGCAAAGGCACCAATTTTGGCCAAGAGTGAGCTTATATGCCAGACACCTAGGGTCATCACTGTGGGTCCCCTACGGCCTTGCCCATCGGCTCAGCAGGGACCCCTGGGCCCCTCTGTGGGGACATACTCATCGTCTGGAGTAAGCTGCACGGGCTCGCTGGTGAACTGCGTGTCAAAGTTGTCCAGACCATAGTCATCCGTGATCTGCGGCTGGAACGGAGGGACGGTCTGCTTCTTCTCCAGCTTGGAAAAACAACACAGGAATCAGAACACAACCGCTGCTGGACCAAGTCCGTGTATAAATGCAAACCACAATGGGAAACAAAGACGCGTGGTGTTTAACACTTAGGACTCGAACAACAATATACTGCTTTTACCTCAAAATGCAAAACACAAGAGGAACCATCCAAAGTTAGAAAAATTCTGCCTGCTGGGGGACAATTTACCAGATTGGAAAACACTAGACTGTCTGATGGACATCACTTTCTCCCCCATTTGGGCCCTGGAGTGGTTGAAACACCAATTACAACAGCATACATTCAATAAGACTGGAATATGGTTGTTGCAGATTGAACTGTGTCCCCTTCAAAATAATATTTCAACTTAGCTGAGCCATGCCCGCCAGTGGTTTAGTAGCTAGTAATGATGTGATGTAATGACATTGTCACGCATGGTAAGAATGTAATCCCCAGGATGCAGGACTGAGGGAGGGGATTAGGGAACTTGTATACTTGGTTAACAGCCCTGATCCATGTAAGGTGGGTTTCCATGAGGTGTGGTCTGCACCTCATCTTACAGTAGATAAAAAGAGAGAGAAGCCAGCACAGAAGGGACCTGACCACCCCTGTGAAGGAAAAGCCCAGAGCAGGGTTTATCCTTTAGCCCCAGGGTCCCTGTGTTGAGAAACTCCCAGACATGGACATCTCCCATGGATATTTTACACTGCAAATCAACAAAGAAAAAAGCCTTCCCTTAAGAGTTTGTACCCTGAATCAGAACTTCTAGCCTCATAAAATGAGAGAGAGCGAGAGAGAGCGAGAGGGAGAGCGAGAGAGAGAGCGAGAGAGAGAGAGAGAGAGAGAAATTTGTTTGCTAAAGTCATCTCTGAGGAGCTCTGGTGACCTAGTGGTGACCAGAAGCTGCCCTGTAATCCTGAAGGCATGTAGTTCAAATCTGCCAGCTGGTCTGTGGGAGGAGTATGGGCAGTCTCCTCCCATGTGATTGATTAACTGCTTCTGAAAACCCTCTGGAGGGTCAGCTACGGGTCCGTTCTGACTCAATGATACCCAACCTACAAAGTCATCTCTATGTGGTACTTCTTACCACCAGGACTCCCTGGAAAACTAAAGCACTGGGAAGCATTCTGCTCATGGATTTGGTGAAAGAAATGGTAGTGTCGTCTCTTAATCTGAGTCACGCTCAGTGGCGACCTATCAGTCACCCTGCTTCCTCCTGCTCAATCTAACAGCACTTTCTGCATCTGGGTTGCAGGTACTTCAGGAGGGAACCAAGTGGGTGTCTTCACTCCCTTGCAAGTAATGGTCCAACATAGCCAGGTCCCCTGCAGGGGACAGTTCAGGTCAAAGAGCTGTGAGGCCAAGTCCAGGGAACTTCTAGAAAAGGCATCCTCACTAATCAGTGGGAGTCACAGAAGAAGCAGCTCTTTCAAGCCCTTGTCTGTCAGAAATGCAATTCCATCTTCAGGTCCCAAGAGTCCCCAGATGGCCAGGCATTTCAGTTCAAAGACAGAAAGTGTCCTGAAGTCCACTGGGGGGGAGGGGAGGATGTCCTAATACCCTTCCTCAATGTGGCCTTGTCTAACATGGGATTTGCTGCAAAGAGGGACTTGGGAACGGTTAGGGATGTCATGGCTTTCAGGAAGGTAAGAGGGCTCCTTCTGAAACCATTTTGGGCTGGAGGGGAACCTGAGTTGGTCACCTGATTGAAGGTTGACTTCTGAAACTGACTTGGGGTCCCCTGAGTAGTTAGTTGACTTCTGAAACTGACTTGGGGTCCCCTGAGTAGTTAGTTGACTTCTGAAACTGACTTGGGGTCCCCTGAGTAGGTTCCACATAGCACCACTTGGGCAGGGGGCACATAGGAGACAACACCTGGGAGCTCCCAGAGACTGACAGCAACAAGAGGACCCTGGAGGGCACCCACCATAAGCCTGTTGGCCCCTCCCATTCAGGCCAGGCAGCCAGGAACCTCCGCTCCATGTGGCCGGAGCCCCCTTACAGGGAAAGCTGCTGCCCCTTCAGGGGCTCTTCCACACCCGCCATGCACGTGGGTGTCCCGGCGCATGGCCACGCCAGGCTCACACAAGCCCCCTACCCCACACCATGAAGATCCCAGAGCTAATGCTCCAGTGCAGGCTTTACCAGGTCCCAGTCAATGCTGCGGAAGAAGGCGTGAGACTTGATGTCCGAGAATCCGGTCTGTGGCCGACAGCCGAGCCTCTCTTTGGGGTCCTGGGTCACCGTGCGAAAGAGGACGTTATCATTAGCAAGCATGGACACAACCTGTCAGTCCTTTCTCAGTAAGAGCCCCCAGCCTCTGGACAAGTGGACCCGGTCACCCCGCGGAATGCCAGCCGTGTCCCACCCCAGCAGTTCTCTGTCCACTCAGGGCTTGCATGAGATTCCCCTTCAGCATTGTCTCCGCTGAGTGAAAATAGGCACCTCATAGTATGCAGAGCTCAGTTACAGAGAACTGCAAACCCTCGTCTGACAGCAACTGGCTGACACGAAGCATCCAACACAGAGGCAGAAGCACACAGATACACAAGGATGCACAGGCAGACAGACAGACACACACTCAACTTACACACTTTGTTCCAGTGACTCTGCCATACCTTGTTTAAAAATCCTTTGAGGACATGGGAGGCTTTGACGGAGAGGAAGCGGGGGATCCGGATGGGCTTTTCCAAGATCACTGTGGGGGAGAGCGTGTGTGGGAAAATGTCCCACTGCTGGACCTCAACTCTCCTCCACCCACAGAGAGGGTTGCTTCCTGAACTATCAGGGTGCTCCCCGAGTCCCTGCCGGCATCCTGTGAGCTAACATGAAAAGGTCCCACAAATCCACACCTGTGGCTTCCTTGGTTAATTTTTTTTTCATGATCGCTTAGACAGTGAACCACCTGCACCCAGATTTACACAAGTGTAGGTGAGTGCTGGTAACCTAGTGGGTAAGGAGTTGCACTGCCAACTCGAAGGCACAGAGTTTTAATCCATCAGCTCTTCCAAGGAGAAAGATGAGCACTTGCCTCCAGAGAAGCTTGTTGTTGTTGTTGTTGTTAAGTCATTGGCAACTCATAGTGACCCTATGAACAAAAGACCTGAACACTTGTATAACTTTCATCCTGTCTTCAGGTTCATAGGGTTTCTGGAGACAAGCTGTTTCGGAAGTGGATGCCACTCCTGCTTCCAAGCTTGTTTTAATTGGGGAGTGCCACCAAACACTATCCATCATGGGTAACCCTTATGGCATTTGACACATCAGTGTCACAGTGTTCAGCTTCACAGCAACCGCAAGTTACCTCTGTACAGCAAGTGGACAGACAACGGCTATTTGACCTAGAGGAATGTTTCACCAAAAACAATGAAAAACAGGCTTGAAGGCCGTGGATTAAAGTCACCCACCTTTGGCTTGGCAGCATCACTTTCTGTCCACTAGGCCAACTGATCTCTATGCTGTACCTGTTGTTAAGTGCTGTTGAGTCCTAGGCGACTCATAGCAACCCTACGAATGACAGACGCCTGTATAACTTTCATCCTTTCTCCAGGTTCATAGGGTTTCCGGAGGCAAGCTAATTTGGAAGTAGATGCCTTAGTCTCTGAAAATCCACTGGCTGGTCAGCTATGGACCTGTTCTTACTTAACAGCATATAGTAACAAATTTTGGGCTGCGGCTTTCTGATCTTTGGCCACCAGAGGGCGATTGGGGGATAGCCACGCTCCTGGACTTTTCATCCAGACCAAGAGCTCAGGTTTAGGGTCAGATGGAGCCAGAACCTGCAGCTCACCTGAGCATAGCTCAAGTCCCTTGGCTCCAGGGTGCACTCCTAACAAGGATAGAGGAACTGGAGCTCAACCAAAGCAGATCAGAAGACTGGGACTGCAGCCCTGTCACCCTAAATCCTACTTGATAGCTTTCCCTGAATGAATAGGTGTGAGAAGCTAGGGTATGGCTGTGCTTAGGTGCTCTCTCCAGAGTAGTGGGGGCCCAGTCCGGGAGGTTCGGTTCCACATCTATCTGCCCACACTTTGGTGATGCAAAAGAATATCTGAGATGCAGGGAGGAAAGAGCGTGCAGGGCTGGAGCTGGCTCTGGATGCAGCAGTCACGCACCTTGGAAAAGGTAGTCCTCTGTGTTCATGTCCGGGTTTTCAGTGATGATGTCAAAGGGAGAGCGCCCAGCCATCATCTCGAACATCAGCACCCCGAGGGCCCACCAGTCCACGCTGAACCCTGTGGGGAGCACACCGGTCATACCAGGCGGTCAGTCAGACTGAATGGCTGGCCGAGTGCCTGCTGCCCGCCTGTTTACTGAGACATTCAGGTCAACATGGAATGTGAACGAAGCATAACTCAACAATCATCACTGTTGAGTCTGAACCAACTCATAGCTGACCCCCTCCCCCTTTGGATTTCCAAGGCTGTAAATCACATGGGAAGAGATCACACATCTATATCTGTAGAAATGCTGGAATATTTGAACTGCCTGAAAGACATGGCCTTGGGATAGCAGCAGCACATTCCCCATGGACTATGTATGCTACCAGAGCTCACTTGGACCAAGCATAGGAGGGCAGTAAAAGATATGAGAGTGGGAAATTGCATTTCTTTGTCCAATGCTGAAGTTTCTTGTATTTTCAGAAGTGAAATGAGCCCCTCTTCTGGGTGGCATGGCCACTCTGCCTCCTCTCCCAGTTATTGAGTCCTTCTTTTTTCTTATTTTTCTTGCTGTTACGAAAGTGAGCATTCTACGACTGATATATATGCCTTGTTTATATAGTTAGGTTGCTGTTGTTAGCTGCCATCACGTCAACCCTAACTCACAGCGACCCCATGCACAACGGCATGAGCTCACTGTGGGTTCTGGGCTATCCTCACAACAGCATGGAGGTTGGATCAATATGATCCATCCAATTTCCATGGGCTGATTCTTGGAAACAGATGCCCAAGTTTTTCTTCCTAGCCCATCTTAAATCTAGGAAGCTTTGCTGAAACTGGTTCAGCATCAGAGCAACATACAAGCACGCCCTGTCAGATGAGTGGCAGCTATACATGAGGTGCTGGGACTCAAACTGAGGAAAGCAAACAGTGTGGAAAGCAAGAGTTCTACCTACTACTGTCTCACCCTTTGCAGACCTGACTGCAAAGCTCTTTTCCCCCTGATGCCCCTCACTTCCTGTCTGATTTTGCATGGTGTGGTGTCAGAACTTCAAAATGGCTTTTCTATCTATTGTGTTAGCCCCCACTGGGTGCGTGGTCTCGAGCTACCTCAACTGCAAATACATGGTCTTACAAATCATCAACAGCTGTGGGACCAATATAAGACAGTGCACTTTCCACACTGTGAGGAGCCTGTGAAGAGACTGTGGCAAGGTATAGCCTGACAGAAACCTGGAGAAGCAGCTAAAATTATAGGTTTTGCTTTTGGATGACTGAATGAAGAGGTGGCTTGTGACTGCTGTGAAACAAAACTTGCCTGACAACTGAGGAAACCAGAGGTGTATCTGCGCTTCTGAACTGAACCTAGACTTTGATTTGTTTAATGAGAAGCTATCTGAACTAACTGAGGAACTGTGTCTTGCTATTAGTCTGGCTTGGGGCTGGTGTTCAGTAAATCTAGACTTTCACTATGATATCCTTTGGCTCACCTACTCCCAGCCTATTTCCCTAATAAATCCCACAACTTTAGGTAAAGTCTATGAGTCAGTTTGCAACAAAACTTGGACCCAAGGATTCATAGAAATAGGAGCAAGAGCATGGGGGGGTGGCATGTCTGACCATGAAGCAATGTTTGGCACCATGGATGTTACTGATGGGGATGGTTCCCCTTTATAAAGCAGGTAGAAGCCAGACTCAGCCACCCCTATGTTCCCCTGATCACAGTAATTTATGATGGATCAAATCTAGCAGGCTCCCTTTCTTGCTTTGAAAAATTCCCTGTGGCTAAAATGATATAAATACTTTATCTTCTTCTATTTATTGACTTTAAAAAAAAAAAAAAATCTGACTTCAGTTTTGTCCATGGACCCAATAAGTCCTCTGTCCTTGGCACATGCAGATGATGCCTGTCACATACAGTCTTTACCCAAGGCTGGCTCTGAACTCCCCTCTGCCCCACTAAGTACCTGTAAGTGTAAAAGCTTCCCAGGTGTGCAGGAGCCAAGGTGAGCAGACAACTCATCCTGCCTCCTACTCCAATCTTAATGATAAAACATTTAAAATACTTACTTATTGGCATGATTATATGTTTCTGTGTTTCTATGAAAGCTTCAGGACACCCTTCCCTACACAAACACACACACGGTTTCATGCCGAGGGAGAGCAGAGGAGGTTCTGATGGATGCCTCTGACCATCACAGACTTGTCTCCACTGTGCCCACTGGCTCACTGTTTGCTTCAGTCAGCTTTGCCTTCAGATTCTGGTGGTGCCACGGTTTTAGCATAGGGCTGTTTATTAAAAGTTGAGCGGTTTGAACCCACCAGCTACTTCGCAGGAGAAAGTTGAGGCAGTTTCTTTCCATGAAAATTTACAGCCTTTGAAACCATTCTACTCTGTCCTGCAGGGTCATCTAGGAATGAGAAGTGATTCGACGGTGGGGGGTTTGGTGCTTGGTAAGAGGAATTGTGTTCTGTTCTCTATACCTGGGGTCACCTGATGAGTGGACCTGGGATAAGAGATAGCATCTGGGGAGGTTTACCAGGGTGTGAAAAAGGGGACAAATATAAACATGTGTATATACTTGTTTGTGTATGTGTGTGTGAGTGTGACCTTGTGCCTGTATGTCCAAGTAAGCTTACTTTTAGATTTAGGTGTAACACAGCCAATAAAGCCCTTCTCCCTGGCTGCTGGCCCAATCCACAGACCCCTTGTTTTTGAACCTGTGCTCTCCACAGGGTCTGCTCAGGCACCATGCACTCTCTCCCCTGGGGTCTACACCACACCATGCCACACAGGCTCACACAGGTGAGCAGAGTGTCCAGGGGCAGAGCCCTTCTTGCCCTCTGATAGGCTGCCAGATAAGCCCACCCCCTGATCCCAACAACTCTGAACTCACCGTATTCCTCTCCCCGAAGGATTTCGGGGGCAATATAATTCGGTGTCCCACAGAAAGTGCTTGTGGTGTCGCCGGGGCCCAGGCCTTCCTGTGGGGACAGAGTTAGTGACTGGGTGGCGGTGATAAGGCCCCAAGAGGGCACCAGCATGGGATAGCTAATATAAGCTGGCCAGGGCTACAGGACAAGGCCTGCCAGGCCAGCAGGGCAGGAGGTGGGCATGGGGGAGGGGAACGTTCACCTTGCACATGCCGTAGTCGGTCAGCTTGATGTGCCCATCGGCGTCCAGCAGCACATTGTCCAGCTTCAGGTCCCTGTAGATGATCCCCCTCTCGTGTAGGAAGTTAAGGGCGATGCAGATCTCCGCGGCATAGAACCTGGGAGTGGACAGGGAATCCATCAGCAAGAAGGGGATCCCTTCAGTGGTCATTCTGCCATGGTCAGCTGGGAAGGGGACTCATACAGAGGGTGGCCTAAGAGGGGCCACCACAGAACCCCTACCTCCTTATATGATAACCCAGCAGGTCCCCTGAGATGGACTTTAAACCTTTCATGACTTTTGGATCATATAGTATCCATCCACATTTTCTGCCTCTGGGGTTTATTGAGAAGGTGTTATTCCCCTTTTAGTGTGTGCTGCCCTCTGGTGGGCGACTGTATAATTACATGACTCAGAAGAAGCTGCCCTCATCTCACTAATTCCAGCCCCAGAGACTCTGCGGGACATACCTGTCCCACAGTGACATCCTATTAGATGAAGAGCACACCGGTGAGAATTGGAAGTCTAGTCTATATGGAGTTGTGCAGTTAACTCTAAGAAAACATCATTTTTTAAAAAAAAAATTTAATTCAAAATGTCTTCTTCCATTATAGAAAATACAAAAAAAAAAAAAATACATGGTTTCAATAAAATTTGTTTGAAAGAGAAAAGGTGAGAAGGGGTCTGTCTCTTAAGGCCCCTGAACCTTACAGTGTGTCACCCTGAAGAAGGAGACAGTGCCCCACCACTTTGCCCTCAAACTCCATCTCCTTGCACTGGCCTCACCACTGACCTCAGTGCAGACCCTGCCTACTTGCCCCCTCCACAAGGTGCCCCACCTGGCATGCTCCTCTGGAAGCTTCCGCTGCCTCTGCATGTGGAACATGAGGTCCCCGCCATTGACGTACTCGATGACCAGGAACAACCTGAGCAGGAGAGAAGGCATTACTGGACGCTGAGCTCACACCATGGCAGGTGTCGGAATGCACTTGACACAGAAACTTAACGTTAAGAACCTGCTGATGCTGAAAGGAGGCCCCAGGTGGTACAAATGGCTGTTAATAGAAACACACTCAGAGATATCTACTTTCCAAAAAGCAACCACTGAAAACCTCGGGGCACACAGTTCTCCTCTCTGACCCACAAGGGGATGTCAGGAGTGAGTCCACGCAAAGGTAATTGGCTTAGTTTTGTTTTGAAAGCAAAAAGGCTTCTAAGAAGTTAGCTTTTAAGTTAAAGAAAATTGGATTTGGTGCTGGCATCTCTTTTTTGGCCTCTGTCCTGGTTTAACTAACACAGCTGTAACAGAAATGCCACAAAGTGGTGGCTTTAACAAATTTACTTTCTCAGTGCTTATGTTGTTGTTAGGGGCTGTCGAATCAAGTATGACTCACAGCAACCCACTGAACAATAGATGTGAGCCTTGTCCTATCCTGTGCCATCCTTACAACCTCTGAAACATTCAAGCCCACTGCTGCAGTCACTATGGCAATCCACCTGGTTTGCCGACCCTCTACCTTTTCCAAGCATGATGTCCCTCTCCAAGGAATAGCCTCTCCTAGCAACATGCCCAAATGGTATGTAAGATGAAGCTTCATCATCTTTCCCTCCAAAGAGTACTCTGAAACAACTATGAGAGTATCATCTCACCCCAGTAACAATAACAAAGTTTCACAGAGCAGCAAACAACAAATACTGGTGAGGTTGTGGAGAGATTAGAACCCTTATTCACTGCTGGTGGGAGTGTAAAATGGTGCAACCACTGTGGCAGGTGGTCTGGTGCTCTTTCAGAAAGTTGGAAATAGGAATACCATTTGACCCAGCAATTCCACTACTGGGAATTATACCCTAAAGAAGCCAGAGATGCCACTCAGATATATGTACACTCATGTGTATTGCTGCATTATTCACAATAGCAAAGAGATGGAAGCAACTCAAGTGCCCATCAACAAATGAATGGACCAAAAAACTATGGTTGAGTCATACAATGGAATACTATGCACTGAAAAAGGGAACTCATAAAACATTACATAACATGGGTGACCTTGGAGGACATTATGCGGAGTGAAATATATCAGTCACAAAAGGACAAATACTGCATAGCACCACTGTTATAAAATAGAACTGATATGGGAGGTTTGTGGGAAACTAGGAAAAGAGGGGATAATGAACACTGCATTGGAACAGAGGAAGGAAAGAATTATTTAAAAGGAATCTATGATTTGGTATTATTTGTATGACAACAATACAGAATAAGAGGCACATTGCAAAGTGGATCTGGAGAGGGATAGGGAGGAAATTGTGCAACAATGAATGAATTTTTTTTTAAGTGAACTGGGGACAGGTAGGGAGGAAAACAAAAAACAAAAGCACTCTCCTTCTTCAAGATGTATCTATTTGTTCTTTTGACAGTCCATGGAATATGCAGTACTCTTCTTCAACACCACAGTTCAAAGGCATCAATTCTTCTTCTATCATCTTCATTCACTGTACAGCTCTCATGCACAGCAAGTGACTGAAAAGATCATGGCCTGAGTCCTCAAAGTCTGAAGTGACAGTGCTGGCTCTAGGGGATGGCCTTCTCTATCAGAAAGGCTTTCTCTATCTGCCTCTTTTCTGGAGGAAGTTCCCTGTGTCCGTCCAGCATCTGTTGGGCCGGCTCTCCTTGGGGATTTCCATGTGTCTTGGCATCAGTTATTTTCTGGACATGAGAGGCTCATCCACAGGAATCCTGGGTCCTAAGGACGAGTTTCACTCCTAGCTCTGCTTTCTTGGTGGAAGTGAGCTTCCTCCCTGGCCATTCTTTTTTATCTTTTTGCCTCTTAGAAGACAGAAGGTGTTTTAGGCAATGTCTAATGGACACTCTCCTCATACAGGAATGTGATGAGAGTAAGGGTGTGACAGCTAGCCCAACTTTACTTCTCTTACAACCAAGGGCATATGAGATGCTGGGGCTCATTATGTAACAGCACGTTCCATCATTACGTCCCAAACAGTGACAATCATGGCTCAGCCAAGTAAACACCTTCAAGCCACGGAGAGTGCAACTCCTCCCACTGGCCTATGCTTTGTAACGCTTGTGTCCTCTGTGACTAAGGATGAGCAGATCGCCCTGGGCTCAGTAAGGAAAGCCATTCAGACTGAGAAGCGAGGTTGAGGCACCAGCCTGAGTATCTGAGTGGCCTTCTTGGTGGGAAGTCCAAGGATCACTCTCCATTGTTGGGAGGCACGATACTACTCTGGGCCGCTCCATTCTTTTTTTTTTTTTTAAATTATTATTTTGCGTGTGTGTGTGTGTGTGTGTGTGTGTGTGTGTGTGTACCGTCAAATTGGATCTGACTGGCACAGGAGGAAACTGTCACTCCTCCAGCAGAGCATCTGATGGATTCGAACTGCACACCTCTGGAATTGCAGTGCTCCATTCCTATTTGTATCTCAACACAAGATTCAGGTGAGAGGAACAAGCCTGCGTTCCTCCTTGCCTTCATTTCCTCTGTAAACAGTCACCTGAGTTTCTAATGGAGGCCCGTCTCTGGGTTGAGGGGCAGCCATGCACAGGGGTAGAGTCCATGCCTCATGGACACAAAGAAATAAAGCCAGAGCCTCAGCAGTGGACAGGTGACTAGGCGGGCCCTCCCTACAGCACAGCAAAGACTTGAATGAATGGGGTGCGGGAGGGAAGAGCTTGAAACACTCTGGAAGCAGATCACGGTCAGTATAAGGCACGGAAGCCAAGCACAGGCACTGGGGAATGTGTGGATTGACGTGTGTCCCACACAAAATATATGCTGTAAATTCTAACAATCCCAGAAGAACAGATCAGTCAAGAGGCTGGACTTTATAAAGAGGAATGTGGCATCAGGATTGGAGGAAGACTCCTCAACAACCTGCGCTATGCGGTTGACACAACCCTACTTGCTGAAACTGAGGAGAACCTAAGATTTGCTGCAGAAGGTCAAGGTCTGTAGTCTTCAATATGGATTGAAGAGTAACATCAAGAAGACAAAGGTTCTCACCACTGGGCCAAATGGCAGCATCATGATGGATGGAGAAGAACTGAGGTTGTTAACAGTTTCAGCTTGCTCGGCCCTACCCTACAGTCAACACTCTTGGCACCAGCAGTCAGAAAAATCAAAAGGTGAATTGCATTGGGGAAATATTATGTCAAGGACCTCTCCAGAGTGCTGAGGAGCAATGAATGACATCAATCTAGAGACTAAGGTGTGCCGGATCCAGTTCCTAGTCTTCACAATTACTTGCTATACATCAGAGGGCTGGACAATGACTAAGAATGACAGAAGAATTGATGCCTTTGAGCTGTGGTGCTGAAGAGTATTGAACATGGACTGCTAGTAGAACAAATAGGTCTGTCCTGGAGAGGGTAAAACCAAGTTTCTCCTTGGAGGCAAGGATTTCGAAGCTCTGTCTCACATACTTTGGGCACTAAGATACTATGGCCAGGAGGGACCAGTCCTTGGAAAAGGACATCATGGTTAGAAGAGTGGAGGGACAGTGCAGGAGAGAAAGACTCTGGATGAGGTGGATTGATTTGATCACTGTGGTGATGGGATTAGGTGTGTCAGGGTCAGCGAGACTGGCTCAGGATAGGGCAGGGTTCAGAGCTAATATACGTAGGGTCGCTGTGAGTCACAGTCAACTCAACTGCAGATAACGATAACAACACGCAATTTTCAATTTAGGAATGGATTCTCTTTGTTATGGTAACGTGGCAGTACACAAATCATCAAATCAAGTCATTGGTCTTGAATCATAACTGAATCACAGCTAACCCGCCAGTGGGTTTCTGAAGTGGTAAATCGCATGGAAGGAGACTGTCTGTATTTCTCTCATGAGCTGCTGGTGGATTTGAATCACCAGAGAAGCACAGCTTTGAGTTAGCAGGCTAACTCTACAGATTATGCCACCAGAGTATAGAGTATGTCTTAAATCAATTTCCTTTGAAATATGAAAAAGCAAATCAAGCAAGCAAATTAAGCAAGCAAACACAGATGGGAGAGGGACAGCTGCCATGCTACGTGAGGTCTCCCAGGAGCAAAAGGACAGAAGTGACACCGTCTTTCCCTTAGAGCCAGCATCTTCAGTTTGAATTTCTATCTCTCCATTATTAGATAAAAATATCTAAGTATTTTTACTTCGATAAAAAGGCTGGGTTTAGAGGAGACAGTACTAGGGATATTATAGCTAATGTCAGGTGGATCTTGGCTGAAAGCAGTGAGTACCAGAGGAATGTCTATCTGTGTTTCATTGACTATACAAAGGCGTTTGACCGTGTGGATCACAACAAACTGTGGCTGACTCTAAGAAGAATGGGAATCCCAGAACACTTGATTATGTGAAACCTATACTTGGACCAGGAGGCAGTCGTCAAAACAGAGCAAGGAAACACTGCATGGTACAAAATTGGGAAGGGTGTATGCCAGGGATGTGTCCTATCTCCTTTTCAATCTCTATGAGGAACAGATCATCTGGGAGGCTGGGCTCTATGAGGAGAAGTATGGCATCAGGATTGGAGGTAGACTCATCAACAACCTGCATTATGCGGATGACACGACCCTGCTTGCTGAAACTGAGGAGGACCTGAAGCGCTTGCTGCAGAAGGTCAAGGACTGCAGCCTTCAGTATGGACTGAAATACAACATCAAGAAAACAAAGATTCTCATCACTGGGCCAATTGGCAGCATCATGATGGTGAAGAGATTAAAATTGTTAACAGCTTCAGTTTGCTTGGCTCCACAGTCAACACTCTTGGTACCAGCAGCCAGGAAATGAATTGCTCTGGGAAAGGCTGCTGTCAGAGACCTCCAAAGTACTGAAGAACAATGATGTCAGTCTGGAGACTAAGGTGTGCCTGATCCAGGCCATACATAGTCTTTGCAATTACTTGTTATGCATCAGAAAAGCTGGA